TTGTTTTCCGATCTTGTATTTCTATTCGTTCTTAAAGTCTACAACCTAGGACTGGTTCTGTGACTTTTTGCCTCCGCCTATAATGGAAGCATCGTTCTCTTTCTAACTTCAATTTCCTTTTTCTTTTTTTGTCTTAATGGTATTATTCTGAAGTATGTTGTTCCTAGTGGCACCGCATTCTTCCTTTATATATTACTCATACTATTTTCCTGTATATTTCTATAAGATTTTTATTTTATGATTAATGTAGGGTTTGTTTATTATCTTGCACATCTAGGTATATATTTAGAGTACAGGTGCTTGTTATATCACAGGTAGAAGCCTGTATTTTAGAGTACAGGTGCTTGTTATATCACAGGTAGAAGCCTGTATTTTAGAGTACAGGTGCTTGTTATATCACAGGTAGAAACCTGTATTTTAGAGTACAGGTGCTTGTTATATCACAGGTAGAAGCTTGTATTTTAGAGTACAGGTGCTTGTTATATCACAGGTAGAAGCCTGTATTTTAGAGTACAGGTGCTTGTTATATCACAGGTAGAAGCTTGTATTTTAGAGTACAGGTGCTTGTTATATCACAGGTAGAAGCCTGTATTTTAGAGTACAGCACATACAGCAGGGTCCCGCTTTATAGCGTTTTGCTTTACTTTATTTCGCTAATGCGACGGTTTTCAGTTATACCCATTCTTCATATTTCCAGACTTCCTACATTAGCTATATTCACCACCAACTATAAGCTGAAGACGAAAATATTTTAAGGTAAGTAATGTTTATCTTTTTTAGGCCTAGATCTATTGCTCACTTAATATATAATAGTGTAAACATGTTGTCAGGCTTTCATATGTATTTGAAAGTGAAAAAAGCCTGTTTCACTTTACAGTGGTTTTCGCTTTACAACAGTAGCCCGAAACTTAACTTGCTGTATAAGCGGGTCCTGTTTGTATAGTTGAGATGTTTGCCTTATGAACATTTAACGCTTATAATTAGTTGGCAACACTTGGAATGTCAAGGACGGGACAACACAGTGTTCGATTACGATGACCTGGGTTGTATCTATTAGCGCTAATTTAACCCCTGCTCTCCATTCATTTTCCTTTCTCAGTCCCACTCTCTTCTTTGCACCTTCTCTCCTTGTGAAGTTGCTTCAAGAGGGAATGTGATATAGCTACAGTCTTTGTCCAGCTTTTTTAATACTGGCTTTACTGTCTCATCTATTAAGAAGTCTTGATATACCTCTGCGCTTTATTTCCACTGCTGTTAAAAAGTACTTACCTGGGATTTTATTAAACCCGTTCCCTAAAGCCAATTTTATTGATCTAAAATTGATTTTTATATCAGGATATATAATAAGTTACATTGAGGTGGGGACTGAGCACCGGAATTGTTAAGAAAGACGGGAATGGCAAGAGGAAAGGAAACTGTGTCCAGCCTCCATGAACAGAGGCGAGACTAAAGTCCTGTTAAGCTCTGAAGGAAAACTTGTGAATTATCTGTAAGTTTACTTATATGTCAGTCTAGTTAGTATTCCATTACTTATATAGTTGGATAACAGATGATTGTAATAACCCCCATATAATGTAATATTAGCCACCCCTTCCAATAACCTTGTCCCAATGGTACTTTGCCAGTAAATGTTGATTCCCCATACCTTCATATTTGTGAAATCATCGTAATTCCTTTATACATATATAAACTACTGATCAAGAGGAGTTTAAATGATGAAATTACTCTTTTGGGAGTTAAAGAGAAAGCGCACATCCCCCGGAATCACATCCTTTCCTCTCATTTTTCTGTCATTTTTCTAACTTATTCTATCTTTTCCCTTTTCACCATAACATTTGACGTGACACATTTGACATTTCGTGAACCAGATCTGAACCTGTCTTCAGATATCAGATACTTGATTATCTTGCATGCCTTCCATGTTGGTGGGAAGGCAAGCCTCTCTTGCTAAGCGTGAACGGTGGTCAGCCATCTACCAGGGCAATAATTAGCTGTCGACGTGGGCAATAACAAGATATCTACCTGGGCAATGATAAGCCATCTACCTGGGCAATAACAAGCTATCTATCAGGTCAGTAATTAGACATCTACCTGGACATTAACGAGCCATCTATCAGGGAAAAGAGTTTGCTCTCTACCTGGACAATGATGAGCCATCTACAAGGGCAATAATAAGCTATCAACGAGGACAAAAAAATAAGCCATCTACTAGGGCAATTATTAGCCATCTACCAGGATAATATTTAATCATATGCCAGAAACTGGCATCCATCTACCTGAACAATAATTAACCATCTAACTGGGCAGTAATTAGCCGTCTATAAAGATCAATAGTCAGTCATCTACAAACGGTAATAGTCAGCCGTCTATAAGGAGCAATAATCAGCTATCTACAAAGGGCAATAGCGAACCATCTATAAAGGGCAGCAGCCAGCCATCTATAAAATGCAATAGCCAACCATCTATAAAGGGCAACAGTCTGCCATATACAAAGGGCAATAGTAAGCCATCTACAGAGGGCAATAGTGAGCCATCTACAAAGGGCGATAACTAGCCAGCTATAAAGAGCAATAGTCCGCCATCTACGAAGGGTAATACTCGGCCATCTGCCTGGCAGGTGATGGCATATGATCCATGAAGCCACATGTATGATACAGGTGGTGACACATCACAGGTGATGGGTGGGGAGTGAGGCATGTGGGTGCATACCGCGTGTGAAGCAGGTAGGCGCGTGCCGCATGTGAAGCAGGTGGGCGCGCGCTGCGTGTGAAGCAGGTGGGCGCGTGCCACTTGTGAAGCAGGTGGGCGCGTGCCGCGTGTGAGGTAGGTGGGCGCGTGTCGCGTGAGTGGAAGCATCACCTTATGACTCTGGTGTTCGTGTTATTAACAGTACTTAAGGTTCCATCATGACTGGTCTCCTCCCTGCCTCATCTTCCACTCATATTAAATGAAATGTTTGTCTGTCGTACGTTTCCGGACTGTCTGTACGATTTGCTTGAGAGTCGCTTGCTTGAATGTAATGCAGTTTGTTTAACATTCCACATACTATAGAACAGGGAGACACTGTAGCAGACCTAATAGCTTGCCCCAGCAGACCTAATAGCTTGCCCCAGCAGACCTAATAGCTTGCCCCAGCAGACCTAATAGCTTGCCCCAGCAGACCTAATAGCTTGCCCCAGCAGACCTAATAGCTTGCCCCAGCTAGGTTCCACTCACTCCCCATCATTCCAGCTTGTGTCTCTGTGATACCTGTCCTCAAGGTCGCTTAAAGAATTCATTTACTCGACGCTTTTAGCATTTTTTCCTTTCCTACACAACTCTTGTTGACACTTGCGTATAACGTGTTTGTTAATGTACCACACACCTCGTGTTTGTTCCTGTACCACTTCTTTTTGTCCCTGCACCACTTGTGTGTGTTCCTGTAACACTTCTGTTTGTTTCTGTACCATTTCTGTTTGTTACTTTACCCCCCTTTGTTCCAGTTCCACTTCCGTTTGTCCTTATACCACCTCTGTTTGTTCCTGTACTACATACATCTGCTGTTTGTTCCTGTATATGCGTCCTTTTTGTTTCTCTACAGTACATCTGTTCATTTGTATCCTGTTGGTTCATGTACCACAAAAGTCTTTATTGGTTCTTCCATTACCACATATATGTATAATATTTGTTTCTATAAAACATACCTAAATGTTTTTCCGGTACTGTATACCTATAAGGCGTTTTTAGTATACGACATACCAAGTGTATATGATGTTTCTATACAACATACCTCCATGGTGTTTGTTTATATACAACATACTTATATGTTGTTCTTATATTAGTCAGTGAGAAAAATATGCGGTAAAGTTTAGTTTTAAAACCGGTTCTTTATATGTATAAACTGCAAGGCAATAAAGTTCTCCATAGACCGAAACGTTGTCACGATGAAAACGTGGTCTGTACCTGTGTCTTTTCTTCACCTGTGTCACTGTTGGGTTGAGGACAACTGCAGCATGATGCAAGTGCACCACTTTCCTCCAGATAACACGTGGGAAAATATTACGTGGGATTTGTTGTTGGTGGTTGAGTGTCATGTTCTTGGCATTAACGCAACTCTAACCTACCTTTAGGTGTGCTCACAAATATGTGGATGTAGGGGTCGGGTCTCAGCTCCTGGCCCAGCTTAAGTGCTAGCTTGCTATATGTGTGTGCGTGTGTGTGTTTACATTTGCGTGCGTGTGTATGTGTTTGTGTGCATGTGTGTATATGTGTACTTGCCTATTTGTGGTTTGCCTGGGTCGAGTGTGTGTGTGTGTGTGTGTGTGTGTGTGTGTGTGTGTGTGTGTGTGTGTGTGTGTGTGTGTGTGTGTGTGTGTGTGTGTGTGTGTGTGTGTGTGTGTGTGTGTGTGTGTGTGTGTATGTGTGTGTTTGCGTTTGCGTGCGTGTGTATGTTTGTGTGCGTGTGTGTATATGTGTACTCGCCTATTTGTGGTTTGCCTGGGTTGAGTGTATGTGTGAGTGTGTGTGTACTCACTCGCCTATTTGTATTCACCTATTTGTGGTTGCAGGGGTCGAGTCTTAGCTCCTGGCCCCGCCTCTTCACCGGTTGCTACTGGGCCCTCTCTCTCTCCCCGCTCCATGAGCTTTATCAAACCTCGTCTTAAAACTGTGTATGGTTCCTGCCTCCACTACGTCATTTTCTAGGCTATTCCACTGCCTTACAACTCTATGACTGAAGAAATACTTCCTAATATCTCTCTGACTCATTTGTGTCTTCAACTTTCAATTGTGGCCTCTCGTTTCTGTGTCCCCTCCCTGGAACATCCTGTCTTTGTCCACCTTGTCTATTCCACGCAGTATTTTATATGTCGTGTGTGTGTGTGTGTGTGTGTGTGTGTGTGTGTGTGTGTGTGTGTGTGTGTGTGTGTGTGTGTGTGTGTGTGTGTGTGTGTGTGAGTGTGTGTGTGTGTGGAGAAACAATAAGTGGGATGCTGATATAAACAAGACCTGACACTCCTTACCTTCATCTCTGGTGTGTTGGTACTCTTAAGAGAAGTAACACTTGATGGCTCGTCTCTGTGTCAGCTGCCTCTTTGCTGCGGTACCTTCTGGTCACTTCACTTGCTCTTTCCTCACTACATATATTTTTCAAACAGTTCCTCTTGGAGGTACACCGGAGAAGTTCTCTAGTCGAGGGTCAGACAGTCACTGGTAAGCTCGAAGTGGCAGTCTGCAACTTATCAGGTGAAGGCGCTGATGTGGTGACCATGGAAACTTAACCCCGTTTTTTTAACTGGGTTTCACCTCTGCCTTTTTCGCTTTGGTTTCTTGATTCACATAACCATGACTTTTATTTTATGAACGAACTACTTTCATTCGTGCTACATTCACTTTGGTATTTCTTTAATTTATCCAGGTAGGTAATTTATTTGATTGTAAAAGCGAAACACTCAGATGATACGAAGCTTGTGCCGACGCTGACGGGGACGACGCAGAAGTGAAGGCGAGAGTGGTTGTGATAGCCCGAGGGGCGAATGAGCAAGTGGGTGAATGGTAGGTGGTGTGGGCTGGTGCTGGCTCGGTAGTGGACCACGTTCACTCTTTACATCGCCAGCAGGGCTTGCTTATACTTGCCACCTTCCCACTCTCCCTTCCTGCCATCTCTCTCTACTCAACCCAACTTACGACTATCACAAGACAGTCCACAACAACCTCGTTTTACTCCTTGGCCTTGCTTTTCTAAGTCCACCTCGAAGCTCTCTTGTTGTTATAAGGGTGTGCGCGCGTGTGCCTGTATGTGCGTGCGTGGGTGCCCGTAGCGTCTGGGACATGTAATTGCAGTGTTCACGGTCATAAGTGGTGTTGCTTTGAACGTTTACTTCACCCTCGTATATAGAAGACCAGTATGCTACATATAAAATTACAATAGGTAGAAAAGTGGTGACCGGCGGTTACATAATTGGTGGATAGGTGACTGGGAGACAGGTAACTCCTGTCCTACCCTCACCTACTGGGAAGGTCAAATAATCCCAGACAAGGGGTGTGAGAACTACCGGGTATTCTTTCCCTGTTGGTCAGCGAGTTAGTGTGAGGCAGTAGGCACAATCAGTGTGTATGTTGATCTCTTATTTTTCACATTTCTCCATCCCATTTTTCCTTCACATACTTTACATTCTACATCACCCTTCTCATCAAAAACCAGAACCTATTGTTTTTGAACTTCTTTAGGAATATGGCGAAGCACTGTGGAATCTTAAATATACATTTCTGGTGAACTTTCACTTTTACTTTACGTGCACTACTAATTCTCTTCTCCGACTGGAAGGGTTAATTAACCTGTCCTGCAAGCGTACTGCAGTAATGGTTATAATCATAACCATAATTTTTAAATGGGTAGACCAGTAAGCCAAGTGAAGGCCTCAGTCAGATGACCGAAAGCTCCAGCTTCGGGTCGTCATATGTCTAAGACCCGTGTCAGGAAACACTTGTCCTGTTTCCTGACACACCTTACCTAACCTAACTTGCAAGCGTTCGGAAACCCAGGTTATGTCTGTTAGGCTCTTTGTGTAGGTAAAGCCGGATATGCCACAAGATATCGCTCACTCCAGCTTCAGTCTTTGTAGCCAACATAACCCATCTCTTATTACGTCATCCACTTCCTTTGGTCACAGTACCAGGACTAATCCTGGAATCACTTTTCCTCTATTCATCCTGTGTGTTTGCTTTTTCTCTCGAATTATTCTAAATTGAATTGATCAGTCGTTGCATTTATATCATCAAATATTTCACCTTTTAATGGAAATATAAACACAAATACAGTATAATGTGATCCTTTATTGACAACGTTTCACCAACACAGTGGGCTTTTTCAAGTCACACACGGATCTACCTGGGGTTGGAAGGTACGAGAGTATTTATAGTCACGACTATAAATACTCTCGTACCTTCCAACCCCAGGTAGATCCGTGTGTGACTTGAAAAAGCCCACTGTGTGGGTGAAACGTTGTCAATAAAGGATCACATTATACTGTATTTGTGTTTATATTTCCATTGTGTCGGTATTTTATACCATTTATTTCCTTCACCTTTTAATGCATGGTTCATAATACCGAAAATGTTCATATTTAGACGGAACAGTTACAAAGCATTAGTACACTCAGTCGGACATTCCCGTATTAAAATGTAGACAATTGAGTCACCAGTTACATGCTCACATCAGTAGGTGAGGCATTAGCATATGATTAACTGAGGAAAGTATAAGCGATCCAAGACTTTCCAATATCCTCCCTTCAAATAAGAATTACCGACACTCCTCTGTCTTCTAGATGGACTGTGTCAAATTCCTTCAAGCAGTTTCTGAGCAGGAAGGCTCTGGTGCTTATGTTAGATAGCACGTGGCTGGAATCAATATCCTGACTGACCTCACCGTCAACCAGAAGGCCTGGCTTTGACCTCACTAATAGGTACGAGTTGGATCGATTCACAACTGAACCAAGTCATATGAATAAAAAATTACATCACATACACCGCCTACACGTGCGAATAGGGAACCATATAACATAACTAATATAGACCATTGTTCATATAACTATAAACAGTAAGTCACAGAATCACGCACAATGAATACGTCATGACTAGGTAGATGACTGCGAGTGGCAAGTAATATGTACACCATTTGATCATATCCTACCACTGTACGAGTGACGAGTCACTGGCCACACCACGAGTAGCCAGCTGGTGGTTACATGAGCATGATCATGTCCAAACACAGCTCGTTCAGTATGTTCTGAAGGGGTGAAAGTCTAACATCATTGAAACCTGTGGTGCTGATGTTCAGATATGTGGCAATTATCTGGACATTGCTGTCGTTAGGAAGTCTCCGGCAGCTATAGAATGATGCATACCTGCCATCGGTCAAGAAGTCTGCGGCAGCTTTAGAATGATATATTCCCGCCATCAATAAGGAAGTCTGCGGTAGCTGTAAGATGATGTGTTGGGGTGGGGGAACGACTCTACAAAAACGGAGAAGGGGGAGCTGAAAGGGAAGGAGAGAAAATGGGGTATGGGGGAGGGAAATACGGAAGAAGGAACTGGAGGACAGGGGAAGGGAGAAACGGGAAGGTGAGGCGAAGAACGTAAGATTGGATAGCTTTGTGTAGCTGTAATGCGGGGATGAGGAAGACATAGAAGGGAGACTGCTAGAGACAAAAACTGATAGGAAAAGTGGAAGAATGGTAGAAGAGAGGAGGGGAGGCTCGAGATGGAGAGGTGAGGAGGGAAAGGGAGCACAAACTGGCTCGACGTCTACCGCCCCCCCTTCCCGCCTCTCCCATCCCCTCCCCTCAAAGACTTTCTCCAAGTTGGCACACTCACACTAACACAGATGTACATACCGACTTTATAATATATATATATATATATATATATATATATATATATATATAATATTATATATATATATATATGTGTGTGTGTGTGTGTGTGTGTGTGCGTGTGTGGTGTGTGTGTGTGTGTGTGTGTGTGTGTGTGTGTGTGTGTGTGTGTGTGTGTGTGTGTGTGTGTGTGTGTGTCTGTGTCTGTGGCTGTGTGTGTGTGTGTGTGTGTTGCGAGTGTCTGGGTTCGATTCCCAGCGAGGGTAGAAACGTTGGGCGTGTTTCTTTACACCGGTTGTCTATATTCACCCATTAGTAAAATGGGTACCTGGGAGTTAGTCGACTGGTGTGGGTCGCATCCTGGGACAAAACTGACCTAATTTGCCCGAAATGCTCTGCATAACAAGCGACTTTCTATATAGTAGTATATCATTGATGTCAGCTAGGCCTGTATATCATGTGCATATTCTTGTAGTAAATAAAGATGCTATTATTATTATTATTAATATGCTGGCAGGTCTCCCATATACATATACATACACACAGGAGCTGTGAATCGACCCCTGCAAGCACATAAAAGCGAGCACGCTTGCGCGCACACACACACGCACACACACACACACACACACACACACACACACACACACACACACACACACACACACACACACACACACACACACACACACACACACACAAACACACGGTGCAGTGTCTAAAATGACATGTGCCTAGGACACAATGGTAACTAACTAACTAACTAACACAAACATGCACGCGCTTGCGCACGGAGCACAGAAGCAGGATGTGAGCTACACAGGTTATGTGAGGGTGGGCTGGCCTGGTGGCTTTCACTGTTGACGATGACCCTCTCTGACGCAGGAAGAGCACGTTGGTAACACAGTGGCTACACGTCAGAAACAATGTGCCATCACGTTAGCACGTCGGAAACAAAATGTCAGTAGGTTGAAAAGTAAGGTACTAACACATGGGCACTACGTCGTCAAGACACAAAAAAAAAAAAAAAAAAAAAAAAAAAAAAAAAAAAAAAAAAAAAAAAAAAAAAAAAAAAAAGACACTGTCGTCGTGTATTCAGCGCGTCGCTAGTACGTCACCACGTCGGAAACACAGTGCCCTAATGGTGTTATTGTAATGTCTTCAACACGTCCTGCTGCTGATTATGCTGACTTACAGTAAATCCAGGTGACTGCTGAAGTTGACTTATAGTAAGTCCAGGTGACTGCTGGAGTTGACTTATAGTAAGTTCAGGTGACTGCTGAAGTTGACTTATAGTAAGTCCAGGTGACTGGCAGAGTTGACTTACAGTAAGTCCAGGTGACTGCCAGAGTTGACTTACAGTAAGTCCAGGTGACTGCCAGAGTTGACTTACAGTAAGTCCAGGTAACTGCTAGACTCCAGCCTGGGTCTAACAGACTCCAGCTCTGATCTAACATACTAGAGCTTGAGACCGACATACTAGAGGTTGGGACCGACATACTAGAGTTTGGGACTGACATACTAGAGGTTGGGACCAACATACTAGAGGTTGGGACCGACATACTAGAGGTTGGGACCGACATACTAGAGCTTGAGACCGACATACTAGAGTTTGGGACCGACATACTAGAGCTTGAGACCGACATACTAGAGTTTGGGACCGACATACTAGAGCTTGAGACCGACATACTAGAGTTTGGGACCGACATACTAGAGGTTGGGACCGACATACTAGAGCTTGAGACCGACATACTAGAGGTTGGGACCGACATACTAGAGCTTGAGACCGACATACTAGAGTTTGGGACCGACATACTAGAGTTTGGGACTGACATACTAGAGGTTGGGACCAACATACTAGAGGTTGGGACCGACATACTAGAGGTTGGGACCGACATACTAGAGGTTGGGACCGACATACTAGAGGTTGAGACCGACATACTAGAGGTTGAGGCCGACATACTAGAGGTTGAGGCCGACATACTAGAGGTTGGGACCGACATACTAGAGGTTGAGGCCGACATACTAGAGGTTGGGACCGACATACTAGAGGTTGAGACCGACATACTAGAGGTTGAGACCGACAAAACTAGAGGTTGGGACCGACATAAATAGAGGTTGAGACCGACATACTAGAGGTTGAGGCCGACATACTAGAGGTTGAGACCGACATACTAGAGGTTGAGACCGACATACTAGAGGTTGAGGCCGACATACTAGAGGTTGGGACCGACATACTAGAGGTTGAGACCGACATACTAGAGGTTGAGGCCGACATACTAGAGGTTGAGGCCGACATACTAGAGGTTGGGACCGACATACTAGAGGTTGAGACCGACATACTAGAGGTTGA